TAAAGGGATCAATACAACAAGAAGATATAATCCTGGTAAACATATATGCACCCAATGCAGGAGCACCCAAATTCATAAAAAAACTCCTGGAAGATATCAAAGGAGACATCGACAACAATACAATCATAGTAGGGGACTTTAATACACCACTGACAGCACTGGATAAGTCCTCTAGACAAATAATCAGCAAAGATACAGCAATCCTAAATGACTCACTAGATCAGATGGACTTAATAGACATCTTCAGAACACTTCACCCGAAAGCCAGGGAATATACATTCTACTCAAATGCTCATAGGACATATTCAAAAATAGACCATATATTGGGTCACAAGCAAAGTATCCCCAAATTCAAGAAAATTGAAATCATAAAAAGCGTCTTCGCAGACCACGATGGCATAATATTAGAAATAAACTACAATAAAAACAACCCAAAATACTCAAACACCTGGAAGCTGAATAGCATGCTATTAAATATTGATTGGGTTACCAATGAAATCAAAGAAGAAATTCGAAACATCCTGGAAACTAATGACAATGAAAACACAACAATCCAAAACCTATGGGACACAATGAAAGCAGTCCTGAGAGGGAAGTTTATAGCTCTACAGGCCTATCTCAACAAACAAGAAAAAATGGTAGTAAATCATCTAACTCTACAACTCAAAGAATTAGAAAGAGAGCAACAAGAAAACCCCAGAGTGAGCAGAAGGAAGGAGATAATAAAGATTAGAGCAGAAATAAATGACATAGAGACCAAAAAAACAATACAGAAAATCAATGAAACCAAGAGCTGGTTCTTTGAAAGGATAAACAAGATTGACAAACCTCTAGCCAGACTCACCAAGAAGCAAAGAGAGAGGACCCAAATAAACAAAATCAGAAACGATAGAGGCGAAATAACAACAGACCCCACAGAAATACAAATGATTGTTAAAAAATACTATGGACAGCTCTACTCCAACAAACTAGACAACCTGGAGGAAATGGACAAATTCCTAGAAAAATACAACATTCCAAAACTCAATCAGGAAGAATCTAAAAATCTCAACAGGCCAATAACTATGGAAGAAATTGAAGCAGTCATCAAAAAGCTTCCAGCAAACAAAAGCCCAGGACCAGACGGCTTCACAGGGGAGTTTTACCAAACATTCAAGGAAGAACTAAAACCTATTCTCCTCAGACTACTACAAAAAATTCAAGAGGAAGGAACACTTCCAAGCTCATTCTATGAAGCCAGCATCACCCTAATACCAAAACCAGGTAAAGACAACACAATGAAAGAGAATTACAGGCCAATATCCCTCATGAACATAGATGCCAAAATCCTCAACAAAATCTTAGCAAATCGGATCCAGCAGTACATCAGAAAGATCATACACCATGACCAAGTAGGATTTATCCCAGGGATGCAAGGATGGTACAATATCCGCAAATCAATAAACGTGATACATCACATAAACAAATTGAAAGAAAAAAACCACATGGTCATAGCAATTGATGCAGAAAAAGCATTTGACAAAATTCAACACCCATTTTTGATAAAAGCTCTCAGCAAGGTGGGAGTAGAAGGATCATACCTCAACATAATAAAAGCCATATATGACAGGCCCACAGCCAACATCATACTCAATGGACAAAAACTAACACCATTTCCCCTAAGAACAGGAACAAGACAGGGATGCCCCCTCTCACCACTCCTGTTCAACATAGTACTGGAAGTGTTAGCCATTGCAATTCGGCAAGAAGAAGAAATAAAAGGCATCCAAATTGGAAAAGAGGAAGTAAAACTGTCCTTATTTGCAGACGACATGATATTATACATACAAAACCCTAGAGACTCCATCAAAAAGCTACTGGACTTAATACATGAATTTGGCAATGTAGCAGGATACAAAATTAACCCCAAGAAATCCGAGGCATTTCTATACACCAATAGTGAACTTTCAGAAAGAGAGATTATAAAAACAATCCCGTTTACCATCGCACCAAAAAAATTAAGCTACCTAGGAATAAACTTAACTAAAGAGGTAAAAGACCTCTACTCAGAAAACTACAGGACGTTGAAAAAAGATATAGAGGAAGACATAAACAGATGGAAGAACATACCGTGTTCATGGATTGGTAGAATCAACATCATTAAAATGTCCATACTACCCAAAGCAATCTATAAATTCAACGCACTTCCCATTAAAATACCAACGGCATACTTCAGAGATCTAGAACGAACTCTCCAAAAATTCATCTGGAATAAAAAAAGACCTCGAATAGCTGCAGCAATCCTGAAAAAGACCAAAGTAGGTGGGATCTCAATACCAGATATCAAGATGTATTACAAAGCCACTGTTCTCAAAACTGCCTGGTACTGGCACAAGAATAGGCATATAGATCAATGGAATAGAATAGAGAGCCCAGAAATCGGCCCGAACCAATATGCTCAATTAATATTTGACAAAGGAGGCAAGAACATACAATGGAGCCAAGATAGTCTCTTCAATAAATGGTGCTGGGAAAATTGGACAGATATATGCAAGAAAATGAAATTAGACCACCAACTTACACCATACACAAAAATAAACTCAAAATGGATAAAGGACTTAAATGTACGACAGGAAACTATAAAAATTCTAGAAGAATCCAAAGGCAACAAAATCTCAGACATATGCCGAAGCAATTTCTTCACTGATACAGCTCCTAGGGCACTTGAAACTAAAGAGAAAATGAACAAATGGGACTACATCAAAATAAAAAGCTTCTGCACAGCAAAAGAAACCATCAACAAAACAACGAGAAAACCCACTGTGTGGGAAAACATATTTGCCAATGTCATATCCGATAAGGGCCTAATCTCCAAAATTTATAGGGAACTCATACAACTTAACAAAAGGAAGATAAACAATCCAATCAAAAAATGGGCAAAGGACCTAAATAGACACCTTTCAAAAGAGGACATTCAGAAAGCCAAGAGACATATGAAAACATGCTCAAGGTCACTAATCATCCGAGAGATGCAAATCAAAACAACAATGAGGTACCATCTCACACCTGTCAGACTGGCTATCATCAACAAATCAACAAACGACAAGTGCTGGAGAGGTTGTGGAGAAAAAGGAACACTTGTGCACTGCTGGTGGGAATGCAGACTGGTGCAGCCACTATGGAAGACAGTATGGAGTTTCCTTAAAAAACTGAAAATGGAACTCCCATTTGACCCTGTGATCCCACTTCTAGGAATATATCCCAAGAAACCAGAAACACCAATCAGAAAGGATATATGCACCCCTATGTTCATAGCAGCACAATTCACCATAGCTAAGATCTGGAAACAGCCTAAGTGCCCATCAGTAGATGAATGGATTAGAAAACTGTGGTACATCTACACGATGGAATACTATGCTGCTCTAAAAAGGAAGGAACTCTTACCATTTGCAACGTCATGGATGGAACTGGAGAGCATTATGCTAAGTGAAATAAGCCAGTCAATGAAGGAAAAATACCACATGATCTCACTCATTCATGGATAATAGAGACCATTATAAACTTTTGAACAATAATAGATACAGAGGCAGAGCTCCCTCAAACAGATTGTCAAACTGCAGCAGGAAGGCCGGGGAGGGTTGCGGGGCAGGAGGTAGGGGGGTAAGAGATCAACTAAAGGACTTGTATGCATGCATAGAAGCATAACCAGTGGACATAAGACATGGAGGGATAGGGGAGGCTAGGGGACTGTCTAGGGCGGGGGGATAAAATGGACACATATGTAATACCCTTTGTAATACTTTAAGCAATAAAAAAAAAAAAAAAAAAAAAAAAAAAAAAAAAAAAAAAAGAAAAAAAAAAAGAGATTGATTGGCTGCGTCCTGCACGCCCCCTACTGGGGATTGAGCTCACAACCTGGGCATGCGCCCTTGACCAAAATCGAACCTGGGACCCCTCAGTCCACAGGCCGACACACTATCCACTGAGCCAAACTGGCTAGAGCCCAGCTTGTCTTTTGTTTTTGGGTGTGAGATTGTGCCGCATTCTCAGGCACTGTGTGGACACAACCACATTCAGCTGAAACAGCCAAGAGGCATGAAGAGGCTGTTTCCTCTCATGTATCGCTTTACCAGTGATGAAGATCTTTTCAGAAGCCCCACAGAAGATGCTGTGTCTCACTGGCTGAGGGAGGGTGGAGGCCAGAGTAACGGGGATTTCTCAAGGGAAAGACAAGGGAATGGCCTTGGGCAGCCAATCCCCGTGGCAGAGGATTCTTAGAAAGGCGGGAGCAGTGCTTGTGATGAACAAATCAGTTGCTGTGTTTTGGGACCAGGAACCCTCAGGGCACTCTTCTGAAAATTCTAGTTTCTATTCATGAAATTCTTTGGGATCCTAAAGTGGACTATAATTTTGTCTAGGGTGGTTGCTCCAGAAAATTTGAGGCATGGCAAGAATGTTTTCTGTTTTTCGCAGAGGAAAAAAGTAGGCACTGGGTAACAAAATGGCATTCACAGGAGGGTCCGGACCACACCTCTTGGGTGTCTATCTTTTGTTTGTCCGTGGGCCTCACCGTGGCTCCTTTGTCATCCTCATCCTGTTTTATGTCCCTGCCTTGCTTGTGAATCTATAATAATAAAAGTGTAATATGCTAAAAAAAAAAAAAAAAAAAAAAAAAAAAAGAAAGAGGTCCTGTTAGTCTAAAATGGAAGCACAGGAATATTAAGTCACTGGACCTAGGTTTCACTGTGTTTGAATGAGAGTGGGGGCCTGAGCAAGGGCTTGTGTGCCTTCTTATTCCCTGCTCTCCCTTCGCGGGGAGGGACCTATACCAACGGGTACCCTCTTAACTTCTGACCTCAGGATATTAACAAATGTGTTGAAGTTTGGTCCATGAGTCATAGTCACAAACGTGAATTTAAATCATCTGCTATGTGCAGTTGATGGAAACGTTGGTTTTAATCGCCAGATTTGCAGAAGAGCCAGCACTGACCGTGGACATGTCTTTCTCTTGTCACCACCAGAGCGTCTCTATGTGTTCCCCTGCCATTGGAACTACCGTCCTGACCACTGCATGTATGGCAGCAACTGCAAAAGGGCGGAGCTCGAAGGGGTGTCTGTTCTGCATGGGAACCGAGGCGTCTACCATGATGATAAGCAGCCGACTTTCAAAGCCCTATACGAAGCCATACGGGATGTAAGTATGTTCTTGCTACCATTCAGCAGGCATGTGCTTACAGCATGAAGCAGCATGGGTGCTTTAGTCATTCTCTTCTTTGAAGGCCAAATACTTCCCCACAAGCATTGAACTATACCAGTTTTCCCCAAGCTAAGAAACTAATATACTGCGTTATGCTATGCTATGCTATGCTATGCTATACTATATTTTATTCACTCTTTACTTAGTATTTCCAAGTAAGTCACACACTTTTGTTCTCATAAATTCACTAACAGAGGAAATTTTATATCAGAAAGAGCCACCCTATGCCAATTGCCATAATAGAGGGTAGTGGGTCAGGGTGAAGATAACACAACAAAATGATATTCATTTCAAACTACTAGTGTGTTGCCTGATTGCCAGTTCCACCCTGTTGAGCAATCAGGTGTGGAGGTGGTCAGTTAGGACAAGGAGCCAACTGAAAACAACAGTCCAGTCATTATGTATTAGTATGTGCTGCGTCAGTGCACGCGCAGGGCAAGGGGGCCCAGTGCCTCCTGCTCAGAGCTCCACGCCACCCTCACCGAGCGCTGACGAGGGCAAAGGAATCAGCACACACGCAGGAACCATCTCAACTCCTTCAGCCTTGTGGGCCCTAAGCCTGGGGAGGCTGGATGAGAATGAAGGGAGAGAGGAAGAGAAAGGTCACTCCTCTCCTCTCCCACAAGAAGGCCTCCACATGGAGGTGCCTGAGACAGGAGTGCATACATGAATATGAGCCTCGGGCATAGGCACTGAGTGTGACTACAGCTCCCTCAAGAGATCTAGAGTGCACTGCTTATGCCCATGTCTGGTGTGGGGAGGACAGCGTTTCCCCAGAGGCCTCCCAAGAAGCCTGGAAATCGCCTACGGTTGAGTCAGAGATCACACACAGGGTTTTGCCTGGAACTCACTCCTCAAGGCCTGAGGCCCCCTCTCACTAACTTGAAGAGACTGGTTAGCAATGTTGAGGAGGACTTAAAGATATATGTGAATTATCTTTTGAGGTAAGTGGCATGATTGAAATAACCTTACTTTGAGGTTCACCACCTGAAATCATATGAAGTACTGCCTGCTGGTACAGGAGACTCCCATATCCATGGGGAGTACTTTACAAGACCTAAGTGGATGCCTGAAACTGCAGGTAGTGCTGAGCCCTGTGTAAACTATGCTTTTTCCTATACAGCATTCCCCCCTTATTTGCGGATTCACTTTCCATGGTTGCACTGACTGGCAATCAACGACAACCTAAAAATATTAAATGGAAAATTCCAGAAATAAATAATTTAAAATTTTAAATTACACACTTCCCTATGTAATGTGATGACATCATAATGTCACCACTCTTAAGTCATTTAGTAGCCATCATAGTTATTAGAGTACATTGTTAAAATGGATCTATTTTACTACTAGTTATTGTTCATTTCTTACTGTGCCTAATATATAAATTAAAATGTTTTATTGTGGACAGTATTACAGATGTCCCCGTTGTCCCCCACTTTGACTTCCTCCACCCAGCTACTACCCCAACCCAGGCCTTCACCACATTATTGTCTGCTCCCATGAGCTATGCATATATGCGTACACGTTCCCTTCCTGTCACCCCCATACCCTTCCACTCTGGCATCTCAGTGTGTTCATGCATCCATGCCTCTGGACCTATTTTGTTCATCAGTTTATTTTGTTCATTAGATTCCAAAAACAAGTGTGATCATGTGATGCTTGTCTTCCTCTGACAGGCTTATTTTGCTTAGCATATTACTCTCCAGGTCCATCCATGCTGACTCAGTGGATAAGAGATCCTTCTGGTTTTTTTTTTTGTTTTTTTTGTTTTGTGTGTGTGTGTGTGTGTGTGTGTGTGTGTGTGTGTGTGTGTGTGTGTGTTTACAGCTGCATAGTTTTCCATGGTGTAAATGAACCACAACCCTTTTATCCACTCATCTACTGATGTGCATTTGGGCTGTTTCCAGATCTTAGCTATTGTAAATTGTGCTGCTATGAACACAGGGGTGCATACATTCTTTCTGATTGGTGTTTTGGGATTCTTAGGAAACATTCCTAGAAGTGGGACATCTGGGTCAAATGGCAATTCCATATTTAATTTTTTTATGAACTTTCACACTGTTTTCTATAATGGCTGCAGCAGTCTTCACTCCCACCAGCAGTGTACGAGGCTCCCTTTTCTCCATGTCCTCACCAGCACTTGTCGTTTGTTGATTTGTTGATTATAGCCATTCTGACAGGTGTGAGGTGATACCTCATTGTGCTTTTAATTTCCATCTCTCAGTTGATTAGTGATTTTGAGCATTTTTCCATAATGTCTTTTAGCCAGCTGTATGTCCACTTTGGAGAAGTGTCTATTCAAGATCTTTACTCAATTTTTAAATTGGATTGTGTGTCTTCTTGGTGTGGAGTTATATACAAACTTCATATATTTTTGAAATTAACCCGTTTTAAGATGTATCGTTGGTGAACATGTTCTCCCACACAGTGTGCTCCCAGGTGCTAGTGGTTTGCGGGGCTTCTGGTTTGTTTGTTCTCAGTTCTTTTTAAAAAAATATATTTTATTGATTTTTTACAGAGAGGAAGGGAGAGGGATAAAGAGTTAGAAACATCAATGAGAGAGAAACATCGACCAGCTGCCTCCTGCACACTCCCCACTGTGGATGTGCCTGCAAACAAGGTACATGCCCTTGACCGGAATCGAACCTGGGACCTCTTAGTTCGCAGGCCGATGCTCTTTCCACTGAGCCACACCGGTTTGGCTGTTCTCAGTTCTTATGTGAGTGTTTTGTTTGTTTGTTTCCTGTGCAGAAGCTGTTTACTTGGATGAAGACCCACTTGTTTATTTTTCCTGTTTCTCTTGCTCTAGGAAATGGGTTGGTGGAAATTCTGCCATGTGAGATGTCTGAGATTTTAATGGTGATGTTTTCTTCCAGAATTTTTATGTTTTCCCAAGTTACATTTAAATATTTTATCCATTTTGAGTTTGTTCTTGTGTATGGTGTAAGTTGGTGGTCTAGTTTTATTTTTTTTTTACATGTATCTGTCCTTTTTCCCCAGCACTATTTATTGAAGAGACTATCTTACTACTTTGTATGCTCTTGCCTCCTTTGTCAAATATTAATTGAACATAATGACTTGGGTCAATTTCTGGGGTCTTTGTTCTGTTTCATTGAAGTTTATTCCTATTCCTGTCCTAGTACTAAGGTGTTTTGATTATAGTGGCTTGTAATATAACTTGATACCTAGTCTTATGATTCCTCCAACTTTGTTCTTTCTCAAGATTATTGAGGCTACTCAGGGTCTTTGGGGGTTTCAAATAAATTTTTGGAATATTTGTTCTAGATCTGTAAAATATGCCATTGGTGTATTAATAGGGATTCCATTGAATCTATAGTTTGCTTTGGGTAGTATGGACATTTTAAAGATGTTAATTGTTAAGATCCATGAACACGGTATGTGCTTTCACTTGTTTGTATATTCCTCTACTTCTCTTCTCAGTGGCCAATGGTTTTCTGAACACGGGCATTTTACCTCCTCGCTTCAGTTTATTCCTAGGTGCCCTTTTGTTGCTGTTGCAATAGTAAGTGTGATTGTTTTCTTAGTTTCTCTTTCTGAGTTTATTATTGGTGTATAAAAATGCCATCAATTTCTAGGTACTAGTTATGTATCCTGCAACTCTGTCGAATTCATTTAAGTATAGTAGCTTTTTGGTAGATTCTGTAGTATTTACTATGTACAATATCATGTCACCTGCAAATAATGGCAGTTTTAATCCCTCCTTTCCAATTTGGATGCCTTTAATTTCCTCCTCTTTTTTGATTGCTGTGGCTAGGATTTCCAGCACTATCTATATTAATACTAGCCTAGGTCAGTGGTCGGCAAACTGTGGCTCGTGAGCCACATGCGGCTCTTTGGCCCCTTGAGTGTGGCTCTTCCACAAAATACCGACTTCTGCACATGGGCCACGAAGTTTCAATCGCACTGTACGTGTGCGCATGCACGTGGTATTTTGTGGAAGAGCCACACTCAAGGGGCCAAAGAGCCGCATGTGGCTCATGAGCCGCAGTTTGCCGACCACTGGCCTAGGTGGTCCTCACTCCCTCACGCATCACTCCCTAATGTCATCACAAGATGGCCGTCACAAGATGGCTGTCACAAGAGGGCCGCACCACAGTGGAGGCAGGGCCTAGCGGAGGAGGCAGGCCACGGCAGGGGAAGGCAGTTGTGGGTGATCAGGCCGGCAGGGAAGGGTAGTTGGGGGCGATCAGGCCAGCAGGGGAGCAGTTAGGTGTTAATCAGGCTGGCAGGGGAGCGGTTAAGGGGCAATCAGGCTGGCAGGCAGAAGCAGTTAGGGGTAATCAGGCAGGCAGGCAAGCGAGCGGTTAGGAGCCAGTGGTCCTGGATTGTGAGAAGGATGTCCAAGGGGTCCCAGATTCGAGAGAGTGCAGGCCTGGCTGAGGGATACCCCCCCGCATGAATTTCGTGCACTGTGCCTCTAGTGTTGAATAAGAGTGGTGAAAGCAGACATCCCTGTATTCTTCCTGATCTGAATGGCAACACTTAGATTTTGCACATTGAGTATGATGTTGACTGTAGGATTTTGTCCATGGCCTTGATTATGTTGAGGCATGACTCCTCTATTACCACTTTGCTGAGAACTGTTATCATAAATGGGTGCTGGAATCTGCCAAATGCTTTTCTGCACCCATTGATATAGGTGACCTTTATTCTTAACTTTGTTTATGTGATGTATCATGTTTATGGATTTGTGAATATAGTACCAGCCTTGCTTCCCTGGAATAAATCCCACTTGGTCATGATGTATATGATCTTTTTAATATATTGCTGGATCTGATTTGCTAATATTTTGTTGAGAATCTTAGAATCTATGTTCATCAGAGATATTGGCCCATCATTTTCATTCTTTATAGTGTCTTTTTCTGTTTTGGGAGTTAGGATAATACTGGCCCCATAAAGAGAGCTTGGAAGTTTTC